GAGATAGTAGCCATAGAAGAGTCGAAAGGTTTGTCAACAATAAAAAAGGAAGAGCTTCAAGGGACGCTTGAATCTCATGAACAAAGAATGACTGAAAGAGCTGCAAGCAAATTGAAGAGTGATGTGGATTTGTTGGCACAATTAGTACGACAAAATAAAGGCAAAGGATTATGGTTCGACAATAAAGGTATATGAGGCTACAACACTTCTATTGGTAGAGGAAACCAGCAAGAAGGAAATTCGTTAAATCAAAGAAGACCCTCATACCAAAGCAACCACATAGGTGGTATTGTAAGTAGAAGAAGAGGCGGTGGAAAAAATATGACAAAAGTCCCATTCAATGTTTCAATTGTTAGAAGTATGATCACTACTCAAGTGATTTTCCAAAAAAAATAAAAGAATCAAGAAAATGGTGCAAAGATTGCAAAACATGAAGAAGAAGAGATGTTGTTGATGGTCACAACAAGAGATGAAGAAAGGTTCAAGGACCAATGGTACTTTGACTCAAGATACTCATCACACATGACTGGTAGCAAAGATTGGTTTGTCAACATAAAATCCTCGATGAAGAACATGGTGAAATTGACAAATGACAATACTATAGTAGCTAAAGGTATTGGTGTTGTTCTGATTATGAGGAAAGATGAAAAAGGTTAGTAGTTTCTAATGTATTGTATATACCATACATGAAAAGTAATTTTCTAAGCATAGGGCATTTGGTCAAAAGAATTACAAAGTATCGATCAAAGACAAGATGGTGAGAGTTATTGACTCAACTTGAAGGTTAATTTTGAAGGCTCCTATGTCACAGAATAAAATCTTCAAGATTAAACTCATTGTGATAGAACACAAGTGCCTTGCAACTACAACTAGTAGGAATGAATCGATATGGCACTATAGACTTGACCATCTCAACTTTAAAGACATCAAAGATCTAAAAAAAATAAATATGGTTTCAGGGTTACCAGAAATTGACATTCAAAATGAAGTGTGGGATGAACGTGTGTAGGAAAAGCAACACAAGAACAACTTCAACAAGGATGCATGAAGCAAGTTGAAAGCAATTCTTCAAGTCATATACTATAATGTGTGTGGTCCTATCCAGGTGTATTCGATTGGAGGTAACAAGTGTTTTGTCACATTTATAAATGATTTCAGTCGGAAATGGTAGACTTACCTGATTAAGAAAAAAATTGAAGTGATTAAGGTATTTGCCAAATTTAAATATATGGTTAAAAGATAATATGGTCAAAAGCTCATGATTTTGAGGATTGATGGTGGTGGAGAATATGTGTCGAAATACTTTGACGCATTAGTGAGAAAGAAGGGATTGTGCATAAGGTGATGCTACCCTACACTCCACAACATAATGGAACTGTAAAAAGGAAGAATAGAACCATCAAGAATATGGTGAGAAGTATGTTGAAAGGCAAGAATCTACCCAAAGAATTCTGGGGAGAAGCTGTGTTGAATGCAACATACATATTGAGCAGATGTCTGACAAAAAAGCTAGTAGGAATCACGCTAGAAGAATGTTGGTCTGGTGTCAAGCCTGTGTATGATCGGTTGAGAAGAAAGCTTGATGACAAGTCAAGTCAAATGATCCTAATAGGATATCATGCGTCTGGAGGATACAAGTTGTTCAACCTAATTAACAAGCAAGTAGTGATCATCAGGGATGTGATCATAGACGAGTTTAAAGAATGAGATTAGACTGAGAATGTCAAGAAGGATTTAGTGAGAATTATATGTGAAGAATCAACAAATGAAGTCGAAAGAGAAGTTCGACAAGAAAACGTCAGAAGTCAAGCAAGTACAAGCAGACCTTAAAGAACAAGACACATGCCTGCAAGGTTGCAAGAATGCGTTATTACATTAGATCATGTGGTCGATGGTGAAGGTGAGTTGGTACACTATGCTTTCTATGCAGATGACGAACTAGTCAATGCAATTTAGGCATTGAAGGAACCGAAAAGGGTGAAAGCAATGAATGAAGAAATGAAGTCCATTAAAGTGAACAACAGTTGGTCACATTTTTAATTGCCTCAAGGCAAGAAGGCAATCTATATGAAGTGGGTATACAATGTGAAGCTAAATTCAAAAGGAGAAGTAACTCGGCACAAGGTAAGACTTGCGGCGAAAGGATTTCTTTAGAAAGAAGGAATCAACTTCAACGAAATTTTTACACCTGGTGCTAGGATCGAACCAATCGGGTTGGTTGGATGTCTAACAAACATGAATAACTAGCAGACGTGTCAGATGGATGTGAAATGTGCATTCCTGAATGCCCCTTAAATGAAGAAGTTTATGTTGCATAACCAGTTGAGTTTGTGAAACAAGGCAAAGAAAACAAGGTATATAGGCTACATAAATTCTTGTATAGACTTAAGCAAGCTCCAAGAGTTTGGAATAAGAAGATATATAGCTCTCTAAATGAAAGGAATTTGTGAAATGCACAACTGAGCATGAAGTATATGTAAGAAGAAGTAAGAGTGAATTGCTTATACTATGTCTCTATGTCGATGACTTGTTAATAACAGGTACTTGCAAGAAAGAGATCGAAGAATTTAAAGGTGGTCTTAGCAAGGAGTTCAAAATGTATGATCTGGAAAACATTTCATATTTTCTTGACATCGAATTCTACAAGAGTAGTAGAGGTTTACTAATGCATCAAGGAAAATATGCAAGTGAGATACGTAAGAGATTTGAGATGGAAGACTATAATGCGACTTCGACACTTGTTAAACAAAGACTGTAATTGTCAAAAACCTCATATGAAGATGATGTCGACCTAACACAGTACAGACGACTTATTGGGTCGTTAAGATATCTTTGTCACACAAGGCATGATTTAGCATACAGTGTAGGTATGTAAGTAGATTCATGCAGAAGCCAAAAGTATCACATCTAGCAGCAATGAAGAGAATACTAAGGTATCTGAAAGGATGTCTCGGCTATGGAATTTTATTTTCTGCAGCTTATGATGGAAAATAATACAACCTAGTAGGTTACACCAACTAAAGTTGGTGTAGTGATGTTGAGGATAGAAAATCGATAGTTGGTTATGTGTTTAGGCTAGGTGGTGTATCAGTTGCTTGTAACTTAAGAAATTAACCAGTAGTGCACTATCTTCGTGTGAAGCAGAGTAGATATCTGCTTCTCTTTATGCATGTCAAGCAACATGGATGGTGAATTTGGTCGAAGAAATTACAGCGAAGAATCATGGAACAATTACTATGAAGATCGACAACATGTCTGCTATCAACCTTGAGAAGAATCCAATATCATATGGAAGAAGCAAACACATCGAAATGAGGTTCCATTATCTTCAAGAGTAGATAGAAAATGGGAAGCTGAACTTGGAATACTACAGAACTGAGAACTAGATTACGTACATCATGACGAAAGATGTGCAGGTCGAAGTGTTCAAGAAATTAAGATTTATGATGAATGTAGATAGCTTAGGCATAATGAATTATGTGGTGTATTGAGAATATAATTCCCCGTGTCGAAGCATGTTCCTCGACATAAGCAAGGAGTTGTCGAAATTGTATAAATGCCGAAATGTCGAAGAAGTGTATCTCGACAGAATTTAAGACGTAGCTTTATTTGCTTGTTTTAGTTGAGTTAATTAGGTTAATTAGAGATTACTTGGTGTGCAAGAAGTATCTTCCTATAAATAGGGAGGTACTCTATCATTGTTGTAATGCAGTTGCATAAGAAAAGATCGAAAAAAGTTTGATAGCAGATAGAAACTCTGCATAATTCTTCTTCTTTTTTTCCCTTTTCTCTAAAATCCTAATTTCCTTATTCTCAATTCATATTTTCCTTCTTCTTTCATTATCAATTCTGCATCAAAATCATCTTGCAATTAAGGTTGGTTTATTCACTTAAGTGAAGCGTAAAAAATAAGAGAAGTAATTAATTAGAAAGATTAATTTTTGTTCATCAAAATTAATTTAGAATTCTCCAAGATTTAGTAAATTCGACATCAAGAATTTGGTGAAATTCCAACAACAATCAGTAGAATATATGAAATTCAAAATATTAATATATACATTTATATTAACATTAATAATAATAATAATAATAATAATAATAATAATAATAATAATAATAATAATAATAATAATAATAAATTCATTTAATAAAAAAATTATTTGAAGTATTTTTGGGTTTTCATAAATTTTTATTTTCAAATAGCATTGAAAATTTAATATAGATATATCTTTCGATTAAATTCAAACTTTATTTTGGAATGCTCTAGAAGTTCAACCCTTCATGACCATTTTTAGTATTTTCTTTAATGTGTGAAATAAGTACATTGTGTTATACTAGTATTTTTTTTGTGTGGTAGATACACAACTATTTGTCTAGGAGTATTATTTAAATAAGTACTATTTTCAATTTTTAATCTACTATTAATTATTTTTTCTATTTGTAAATCAAATTAATATTAAAAATCTTATATTCAAATTAAGATATTTGTATATTAATAATAATAATAATAATACAAGAAAATTTAAATAATTGATCAAATTAATTTGGTAAATTCTTATTCTATTTTTAATTTCTAACAAATTCTCATATTCAAAATGCATTGACTTTAATGAATATCTCTTTGATTTCAAGTGTTATTTTGGATTCAACCCTCCATAATTTTTTATAGTATCTTTTAAATGTGAATAAAAAATATAATAATATACAATTTATTTTAGGAAATAAAGAATGTTGACTCTATAAAATAAAACTATCACTAATATTCCGTCAATTATTAAAATATATTAAAATTAGTGATTTCTTAATGTATAACTATTTTAGTGAATATAAACTCATTTGTTTGTTGTGGTAGGCATAATAGTATTTTGTCAAGGAGTATTATTTAAAGTCCACACCCAATTGCCACCTAATTGGCATCAAACTTTGTTAGAAAAAGGATCTAAAATCCATTTTCAATTTCCCATTGGGAATCTTTCTCTTTCTTTTTCTTTTTCTCTCTCATGGCTCTTTCGTGCGTCTGTTCTCCAAAATGCCTAGCCATTCTACTCCTACTCACAGCCATACCCATCGGCATAATCACATCCCTAGAACGATCTCAACCACCAACTCACGTCTACCACTACCACAGCAACGGTTGGTTCCGAGAATGCGCCAAGTGGGATTCCGCCAACAACCGTTTCATAGTCTCTTTCTTTGAAGGCGGCATCGGTCGAATTCCCGTACCTGAGAACGAATCTCCGGGAACAGTGTTAGAAGAAGAATCAATAGTGAAAGAATCAGAGCTAGCCGGAAACGCGTCGTTGGGATTGACGATTGACCGGAGTAGAAATCGGGTTCTGGTGGTAAACGCCGACGTTTTGGGAAACCGTTATGGTTCTCTCGTTGCTTATGATCTTTCTACGTGGAAACGCCTCTTTCTTACTCATCTTTCTGGCCCTAGTAAGTAATTTTCTTCTCCATATTCTTTCCTGTTCATGCATCGCTTTCAATGCTTTCCATTAATAGAATTCATATATCAAATTTCTTATCTCATACAATTGTACTAGTTAGTTTGAGATATTATATTTTTCTTATAGATGTATTCCAATATACTATTTTACTTTTTAAGATAAAATATAGAAAAATAATTATAATTAAATAGTCTTATTCATTTTCTGAACAGTAGTGTTAAATTATTTTAAATGAGTTTCCTGCCGACGTGATCCTCTCCGACTCTAGAGATCCGCTGGATATTATATTGACAACTATACCACACCAACCACTTAAGTTAAGTTAGACACTGTAGTGGGGTACTGGATACTGAATCTATTATTATTTTATTTTAATTTTAATTTTAATATTGTACGTATTGTTTGTTCTGTTTGGAACATAGTAAAAGGCGAAGGAAACGAGGAGAGATGATGGATATGTTTGTTTTGTTCGTTGTGTATTTATTCCTAGTTTTTAATTTCAATATCATATATCTATATTCTCTACCATGCATGCTCTGCACGTTTGTTTTTCTCTTTGTTTCTATCGATATATTACTCTTACTCCTCCTTCATGATCTTTAATAGACACGACACGTTCTACCCCGTATCTATATGTCGAATTCTCACCTATTTTTTACGACAACAATAGTACAATATTAATGAATTTATGGTGATTATTAAAACGTGCTAGCTGGCTGGTGAATTGCAAGTTGCAATTGCAATAACTCTGATCCATATGATTGACTCAATTCTTTAATGCAGGTGATGGGAAATCCTTTGCAGACGATGTTGCGGTAGATGCAGAAGGCAATGCTTATGTAACAGATGTAAAGGGAAATAAAATTTGGAAAGTTGGGGTTGATGGGAATATTATATCAATCATTACCAGTCCACTCTTTACTCCAAAAGAATGGCACAAAACATTGGTTGGACTCAACGGGATTGTTTACCACCCAGATGGATTCTTGATAGCGATTCACACTTTTAGTGGAAATTTGTTTAAGATTGATTTGAAAAACGGAGACGAAGTGAAGATAGTAAAGGTTAATGGAGGGCCACTTTATTTTGGTGATGGTTTGGAGTTATTGTCTCCCGATAAGGTGGTGGTTGCTGGTAGTACTCCTTCAGGGAGATTGGTGGAGAGTTTAGATGGATGGAATACAGCTTCTGTTGTGGCGACATTCTCTGGGCCTAGACATCGTTTGGCTACTGCAGCTACTGTGAAGGATGGGAAAGTGTACCTAAACCATATACTTGGAATTGGATACCCTAAAAAGAAGCATGCTCTTGTTGAGGCAGTTTTTTAATTCATAGTGTTTTCCATAAATTTGAACGCCTTTGCTTGAAATTTGGTGTTTCTTTGGTTATTTGGGTTCGGTTTTGTGGTATTTGTTGTTACTTTTTAGAAATATAAGCTGCGTTTGGTGGGGAATTTGGTGTAACTGTGGTTCCTTAATTCTATAGTTCTTCTTGTTTTTGTCCCAATAAAAAATGTTATAATCTTCAATGCCTCTTAAATTTTGTAAGTTATGAGTATTTCCTAGTTGTCACTAATCTATACGTACGACTTTATAACATCTTAACACAATATTGTGGCTGGTAAGCAACTTACGCTCACTTGACAATTAATATAAAAAATGTGTCTTGTGTTTCAAGCTCTTTGGATTGGTTAAACTGTCACGGCTAATATAACTTTTCAGAGGGATAATATCTTGAGTATTCAGTACCGAATTTCCAATAAAAACCTGCTAACCAAATAAAATTATAAAAGAAATTCATTTGATTTGGATTTGTGTGTAGAATTTTTTAATAGAACCACACAGTTTGGTTTGTGGTTTGTATTTTGCAAACTGAATCAAATCAAATTGAATTGTATTATGTTACAATTTAAAATTCACTTAACTGAACCAAATCAAATTAAATCGTATTATTTCAGCGTTGGATTGAGTTGAGACGATTTGTTCGTTGACACTAGTTTTACATGTTTGATTGTTTCTTCATCCGAGTCCTAAAGTTCACGTTCTATATTTTTTGTTATTGTTTTTGTTCTTTTTCTTTAGGACTTCTAAGGTAGTGATCGTTCGAGCTTACTTGCTATGTTGTACATGCATAAATTATTTTTACAACATATATTAATCATGGTGATAGTGTCAACTTCAATCAAGAAGGCCAACAAAGATATTTCACGTGACTCGATGGATCTAAACATACTGTGGATTGTTTCCGCTTTTGTATGTGAAAATGTTTTCGACCAAGGTTTGATTGACATGGGTCTCACAACTGATTGAAGAGTATTTTCCTCAGATGAATATAAGAGGATCTGCAATCGATACGATGAGTGTTTTGTTCCTTTTCATGAATTCTTATTCTTCTTCATAGGCTATCCTCCCCTTTAATGAATTCAAAGTAAGTGTACTAAAACATCTGTTTATTCCCCCTTCATAGTTACATCTAGTAAGTTAGATATTTGTTAAAGTTTTCCAGCACCAGTGCGAGTAGGAGGGGGTAAACCAACAATGACGTTTTTTCATCATTTCAAGACTCAAAATGAGATCAGTTATGGCTTGCTCTCCTTGAGGAAACACATCAAGTGCTTCAAAACTTATTCCGATAGCATGAAGCATTTTGAGGATATCTTTTTCTTGGTTAATCCCTTGAACAAAGAAGTGTGTGTGAAGATCTCCAACCAAGAATCTGGTCCTTCCCAATATGCTTGGTCGTCTTTCACAAGTATTGGACCCAAAGTCCCAACTTGATAGGGGAATGATCATATATGTTCAAAGAGGGAGAATTGTACTAAGAAGAGTTATATTTGAAGAATCAATTAGTATGCTTTTGCTAGGAGTTTGTCTATGTTCATGGAGTAGTCACATTTGACATTGTGTCAAGAAACCGATTGAAAAAGTGCATTGAAACTCACTGGCTAGTGGATGCCTAATCAAAGGAGGAAAGGAAGGGAATCTTTTGTAAGTAGTATTAGGGATATCTGGCAATTAAGGAAGGAGATTCATGTTGTGGCCGCTTTGGTTGGAGTTCAGAGTACTCATTATATTGGAGGAGCTTAGATTTCGCGTACGTCAGATAAGACCCTTTTTGGTCTGGTTACTGAATAGGTCGTTCATACTACCCTTTCTCCTACTCGAATGGAAATTCGGGTTTCCCCTGATTGAGTTGTGGTAGATGAAGTCTTAGTATCTTTAGAGCAGGAAGGTAAGGAAAGCTTGGGTTCCATCTCGAATTCAAAAGAAATTCAAGTTGAGAGACCTCCTCTTAACCGTTATCAATTTAGAATTGTAGGAGGACAAACTTATGTTCAGGTGGAATCAAATCATGTGTTGCTAGATCATTTTGGCTAGAGGACAGATAGGGAATTCCATTCTTCAGATTTTGATGAAGATTATACTTTTTTCCCAGGACTCTCCAAACAAGCTTGACAAATGGGATTGGCCAAATTGTCTTACCATATCCGTCGAGCTGAGCGTTGACCATTCTAGCGTTTGGGGCTCTTGATCGTGAAGAAGTCTTCATTCCCGACCATCTTTGACAAGAGAGAGAAAAGCTCAAGGAACGAGTCGACAACCTTCAATTGAAAAAAATTGATACTTAGAGGAGATCTGAGGCACTTCAAACAAATTCTTATCTATAAAGCTCGTTGTGGAGTCTTTCAAGTATCCTGACTATAACACCCTAAACCCCAAAAATTATAAATAAAGCATTAAACAAAAATTCAAGGTGTCGCCAACGACAATCCTTCAAAAACTCATCAAATAATTTGAAACTACGCAACGAAAAAATATTTTTCAACACAACTTCATAAGTCATTTATAAACTCCAAAATAAAAAAAACAACATCAACTCCGAAAACATAATAAATCCCATCCCCAATGTTACATGATCAGAGCAGAAACCACTAATGTATTATTAACGACTAAAAAGAAAGGGAAGAGTAGTCTCAACAATGCACCTTCCAACATACAACAACAAGGATCATTCCTGAGTATCTGTAAGATGTTCATGATGGACAACATGAAGCAAAGGGGTGAGAAAAAACAAATCAATATAAATGGTGTAAAGAATGCTAAGGTAGCGATCATACAACAAGCGCATATTCATACATAATCAACAACAATATAGTCTCACACTCATTCATAACGACATGCACATATTCACAACCAATCAACAACATCGCGAACAATCAAATACATATGTAATCACATATGCAAATGTACTCCATAATTGACTCATCATGCATGCGGTACCATTCATGAACACTCAGGTTCATCTCACTCCCGATCTCCATCATAAGACCAGAGCATACCAAATTGTTACCATTACCATAGGTAACGCTTCCCCAGCTCTCATATGCAACTGGCTACTCGCTCCCGATCCCCACCATAAAACCAGAACAACCAAAGTTAGTTGCTATCACCACATGTACCACTTCAATAATTCTTCATTAGAATTAGCTTCTCGCTCCCGATCCATACCACCGGACTAGAGCATACTAAAACTGGACCGAAGTCCGTACACCATGATGCATGACTCTCAGCAACATGCATTATCACCATAAAGTTCACCAAAAGAATCACCATGCATATTTCACTGTTTATGCACAACATATTATGAAGATGACAATAAACACAAGAAATTGAGGTTTGAATTGTGTTTCTAAGATTAAAGTTTTTTGTGCCCAAACACCCAAAGTAGAACCAAGAGTAAAAATACACGAACACAATTATTTTTATACTGGTTCGCTATTAACGAAGCTAATTCAGTCCACCCGCTAAGATAATTTTTCCTTCTCAATAAGGACTTAATCCTTTGTAATCACCAGATTATAGACACACATAGAATACCCCTCTTTCTCTTCTCGAGAATCCTGACTAAAACCCTAGTCTCAAGGAAAACAATCTCAAACAAAGAGATACAAGTATTGTGTTTACAAAGTTGTTTCAAGAAAGCAGATAACACAAAGTTTAAGTATAAACATATATGCACATAATAACGAACAAAAGCTCTATGTGTGTTTTCTATCTATATTCACAATAGTAGTATGTCCAGCAAAAGCGTTGTAGCGTGAATATAGTAGCAGAATTAGTAGCTTCATTCATTCTTCTAAGTCTCCTTTATATAAGCATGCAAAGATCCATTGGAGGGTAGAATGGACATCTTCATAAATGAGTTGTCACCTTGCATAACGACCAACCAAGGTGGGAGACAAAATGGTACAAGTAGTACAGTTCTTACTCCACGAAATTAGCATAGTGGAAGGAATATACGATCTTGTATTGTGTACTATTTTTCTCACGTAAAACCTTTTGATCTTATCTTCTAATATTAAAAGAGTTCTAAGTATGTGTTGTTGAAGCATGTTTAGAAGGATCAAGAGACTGTTGAAAGAAGCTTCAGAACTTAAGTCGTCTGAGTCTCGACACTGTGTCGCTACTGCGAAAATCGGCGCCGGCTGACAGAAGAGTCGCCACCGTGCGTTATTTATCCCAACGGAGGGAAAGGAAACGCTCAGAGTAAACCTCGCAAAAAACGGGGAAAGGTATGGTCATCGCAACCAAAACCTGGGTTCGGGAGTCGGTTACGCAAGGGGAAGGTATTAGCACCCCTCACGTCCGTCGTACTCGACGGGATCCACACTTGCTTGGGTTGTCTAAAGGATGCAAAACAATCTATCTACGGCTGCTAAATCTAAACAGAAGGGAATTGACTCGATAGCGCGTCGCACTCTATGCCTACGTATTCTCAAGAGAGAAAGTCAGAGTCAACGTAGTTCGGGACTACAGGGAAATTGGCTCGCCAAGACTTCACGTCTTGTGCCTACGTACTTCCACACTGCCTGGAAGATCAGAGCTGACGTAGTTCAAGCTAACTACGGCTAAACAAGGTATTCCCACATAGCAGTGAGAAATTCAACTGGCTTCAAAGGTACGGGGACCTATGGGCAAAACTATGGCTTGGTCTCAAATGCACTCGGGCAAGAGAGAAAAAGGGTAACAGTTAGTCGTCAGCGGGAAAGTCTCGATCGCACAGCAGCGAGAGAAAAAAAAGTTTTTTGCTATTTTCCAACTATTTTCTTCTTTTCTTTTTTCATGCTTCTTTTTCAATATTTTTTCAAAATATTCTTCATACAATTTTTTATATTTTTCTATGTATTTCTCTCCTTTTTTTCTCTCTATTTTTTTTATCTCTTTTTCAACATATTTTTTTCAATATTTTCTTTTTCTTCTTTTACTATTTTTCAATATCTTTTCTTTTTTCTTTATGCTATTTCTTTTTTCATACTATTTTCTTCATA